GATACGCCATCCCCCTGTGGCTTTCTTCACACAGAACGTTGGACTGGAATGGGGAGAGGTACTCTCACGCACGTGACCCGCCTTTCGGCGGCCCTCGAAGAAGTCATCGATCGCTTTCACTTGATCACGCGGAAGTGGCCATTGTCTGGTAACGCAGTACTTCGTACCTGGCGCGAGGTCGATCTCATGCTGAACTCCACGATCCGCCGGTAGCTCGGCGGGGATCTCATCCGGGAAGACGTCGGCGTACTCGCAGGCGGTGTCGTATACGGGATTCGCTGACTCCCGCAAGGCCTCCCAAGACTGCGTTTGGAATCGTTCCTCTCGAGCAGACTTAGGTTCAGCACCTAGCGGACGTGAGCGTACACTGTCCGTTGCGACCGCGTTTGCTGCCTCATCCACCGAGACTGCCTCGGTGACCAAACATACTTGCTCGACGTCTCCAGCCTTGAGGTCCCGAAGAAAGTTCTTCCAGGACAAGCCTGGAAGGCGTGTGATCGCCGCCGCTTCGCGCGGCGGGCTCGCGATTGCGATGCTGCGCGACCGATTCGGGCCTCCTTCCACGTACTCCAGCGCGCTGACCGATTCCATCGGCGGGCTATCGCTGGTCGTGTAGTCTCGACGAGGTTTAAGACGTCGTCGCTTCGACTTCTTCTTCGACTTCCTCGAGCTTACGCTCGAGTCTGACGCACTGCTACTCGACGATGCATCACCCTCATCTAGGCGCGGGAGACCGTACTCGACCGGGCCGGGAACACGCGGGAGCCCCTGCTCTACCGCGGCATCGTTTGACGGGAGCCCAATGTGCTCGACCGCCGAATCGTTCGGCGGGAACCTCTGCTCTACCGCCGTCTCGTTGTGTGGGAGCTCTGCTCGACCACTGTCTCGTGTTGTGGGAGCCCCTGCTCGACCATCATCTCGTGTTGTGGGAGCCCCTGCTCGACCACCGTCTTGTGCTGTGGGAGCCGCTGCTCAACCACCTCATCATCTACCTCGCGAAACCGCGAGGGCTCTTCGTCCAACAACGTAGCACAAGCCATGCAGAGAGGGCCATCGCTCGCTCTGTGCACTGCTTGTGTCGTTGCTGTTTTGTCTACGACTGTGACGTGGGGCCAGTCTCTTGGCGCCACCAAGAGGTGTGTGAAGACCTCGCTCACGTCGAATCCACGTCGACGCTTGACTGATTGGGCCAGCCAGTCAATCTCTGGCTGATATCGCGCAAGCCAAGGGATGCCCAGGATGCAGTCAAACGCGTAGTTCATCTCGATCACCAAGAAGTCGTCCTTGCTACGGAAGCCGTCGAACGTTTACGACAAAGACACGTCACGCCGCGCAACGCGGCGAGCCTTACCATCTGCGAGTTTGACTTGGATCTCGCCCGGACCATTCCGGACGCGGACGTTCTTGGGTAGTACCGACAAACACGATGCGCGAAAGAAGTTGTTGGTCGCTCCTGAGTCAAGGAGCGCGCGCAGTGGTCGCCGGGCACCGGTGACGTGGAGGCTGACAATGATCAGTCTCGAGTCGCCCGGCGTAGTGGTGGCATTGGTGTGTGCTTGGAGCACGGGAGGGCTCGAAGGTTGGGCTGCCACCGGACGGCCCGGTCCTTCGTTAAAGCCAGTAGGGCGCCCCGCACCTACTGGTCCTGGTCGTTTTTTGAATGAGCGACCGAGGCGTGTTCCGCGTCGACGTAAGAGACGACGGGAGCTGGCGCGCGGCACTCCGCCGCGCGATGACCCTTCTTCCCACAGCGGAAGCAAATGAGGGGGCGATTGCTTCGCCCAGCGCTGCCGCGGTAGGACCCGCGACGTCGATTGCTCGACGCGTTGATGGCGTCGATCTCCATGGGCTCGGGGGTAGACTCTCGGGCTTCCGCAGGTATGGCTGCGGCGTACGATGCAGCGACCATGTAATCCTCGCGAATCGCGAGTGCAAACGCCTCCTCGAGAGAGGAGGGCTCAGCTCTAGTGAGGCAGTAGCGGGTCATACCCTCGCGCATGCCGAACACAAATACGTGGACTTGCGAGGCCGTGTCGATTGGCTTGGGCACGATGCATGACGCCAGGTGTCGAGTCTTCTGGACGTAATCACGCATGGACATCTGCCCTTGCCGCAGAGCGAAGAACTCTGCGCGAACGCGAGATTCATCTTGCGGGGGCTCGAACGCGAGGCGCAAGTCGCTCTGGAGAGTTTCCAGAGTCGGGAAAGCCTCGGGGTCGACAACCAGCTTCCCGAGGGCCCATTCTTTGGCCTTCCCGGTTAACCGGGAGAGGAGGAAGTTCATCTTGGCCGATGACGCCTCGATGCGTCGCGAGGCGATAGCGATGTCGATCTCGCGGAACCACCGATTTAGCGGAAGCCGGTTTTCACCGGCGCCAGAATATGTAGACGTCTCCATCTTGACGACGTCATTCTGGGATGGACGCGAGGGAGTTGACACCCGCCGATTCGCATCGGCGAGCTCGCGTTCCATGAACTCTTGTGCTGCAAGACGTTGCTGGTCGGGCGTCGCTGAGCTCAGCAGCGATGCGACGACAGCGTCTCCGGACACCGCCGCGAGGCGGTGAAGCGCTTCCCACTCCACGCGAGTGAGATGGGGGAATGCAGCATGCTCCAGGGTCGCCCCGGAGATCTGGACTTGGCTCATCGTAGACTTGGTCGTTGGAAGGACTACTAAGTGCTACCAGGTGTAACGGGGTAAGAGATACCGTTACTAGCTTACACTGTAATGCGGAGGAAGCTCGCAATAATAAAACCAAGTCTTAGGTTTGTGTCAAATTCAACTCTGATTTATTTAGGACCAGGGCGGCTACCCCTGGCCTCGTGTGAACCACTCAAACACATGTCTATATCTGATTGGTCAATAAGTGAGTCTGGCTCCTCACTATCAACCAATCAGATGATGACACCTTGGCACACGCTACCCGTGTGCCACTTTACCTACTTATGTAATAACTAAAGAAATATCTACCTACTTATGTAATTGGAGTTGGGCCCATTACAGTTACTGTGCGAGTGGTCGAGTTAACCTGCAAGCAGCTGATGCTGGTTTACTCGACCGGTCGACTTATTGTGCATGTGGTCGAGTTACTGTGCAAGTGGTCTAGTTAACCTGCAAGCAGCTGATGCTGGTTTACTTGACCGGTCGACTTATTGTGCATGTGGTCGAGTTACTGTGCAAGTGGTCGAGTTAACCTGCAAGCAGCTGATGCTGGTTTACTCGACCGGTCGAGTTATTGTGCAAGTGGTCGAGTTAACCTGCAAGCAGCTGATGCTGGTTTACTCGACCGGTCGAGTTATTAATATTGTGACTTGGAATTGCCATTTGAAAAAAATATGCACGTTTTTGATACTACAGTATTAAAAGTACGGTACATCGAAGGTGAGTCCGGCTTTGATGCGTACACATCTTTTTGTTAGTGCTGTTTTGCCGGAGCCTACAAATCTTTTGCTGGCGCCCCAAAGTGAAGAGATCTGTTTGCTGAAGCCGTTTTGATTTTGCTGGCACCCTATCTTCTTTTGTTTTCACCCCAAAAGGTGTTTGCTCGCACCCCGGTCTCTTTGGAGCGGTATGATATCTTGCACCTCTTGAATAAGAACGGATTCATTACAAGCGATTGGCAGCTGCCCAGCCCTCGCCCGTGCACCCCGACACCGACAGTTGCGGTGTGCGTGGGTGCACCGACGCCTGGCAGTATGTCGAGTGATCAGGATGAGAGCCCTGATCACGACGACCGGACTGTGCGCCTGACGTATCGGACGATGGGCCAGGTGCGTCGGATGGATTCATCATCTTTTTGTGTAAATTTTATATATTATGACCAGTCCAATGTATCTTTTTCGTGTGTACCGAAATCGTGGTCTTCACCAGATTTTTTTCTTACTTTTCGGTAATGCTCTTTTCCTGCGCTTTTTTAGCGTTGGTTATTTCACTATCATCTGGGTCAATATTTAAAAAAAATGAAAAGATAAATGGGGCGACAAGATAATATTTATTTTTAATTGATCTTCCACGTTTCTCCATCGTCCCCCAAATGACCCGAAACCCCTCGTGACCCAATGCGATTTCTTCGAATGACTGACGCAAAAAATAGACGTTGATGGCTTTTGGCTACCAAAAGAATAACGTGATGAGCCAGGAGTCGAAACTAGGCGGCGAGGAAAAAAGATGGCACCAAGAAGGTCCGTGTGGGCCTGAGAACGTTGAAGATGAAGAAGTAGATTCAAGTTATTGCGGCTACGCCCCACAATTAATGGATACCCAAGAGATGCAGTCCTTACGAATGGCGCTGGACCGTGGTGAGATGCAGATTCTGCAACAGGGGCATTTAAGAGAATACGTACCTCGAAAAACAGCATCGAACAAACTGCGTCAATGGTACGGACTACCTCGAAACCATCGAGGAATTAACCGTCCAGTAATGTCGGCGGGTCCGTCGTCACACCTCGAGAGTTTGAATGTGAGTACCAGGTTAAGCGTTGGTTACCGTTTGCGAGATCGTCCAGTAACATCGAGAAGATCAGCTTCCTCAGCCAAAGCGGAGGAGTTTGCGATGCTTCTGAAAAATGAAGTGCACCAAGCTCGAGGTGATTCTATTAATTCCGTCTCAGGTTGTCTTGGTAATGTTTTTCATTTTTTTTATTCCCCCTCGTCAATGTAGAATTGGAGCGCCGATATGAGGATTCCAAGCGTTCGCTGTTGGAGGTACGATATTCTTTATTTCTCTTACCAATAATGGGGATGGGGAACCTTACTCGATGTCGCGTCCCAGTACATGGAAATTGTTTCATCATGCAAACCAAATGACCGAGTCGGTGGCCAGGAAGTCTACGAACAACTGGCTGATCTAATTTCTTTTGCAGATAAGTGTTCGGGGCAAGAGTAAGCTTAGGCTATTAAGAAGAAATGAAGAACACGTTCATTCTCCAGCACCGTGAGACTGCAACATACTACTAAGTATGCAATATTTAGACCCTTAAAGTACTGCGTAAGCAGTATCCTAGAATAATTTGCAGTTGAAGAGCGAGCTTGATCCGGGATTGTTGCTGTTGAGCTCGATGGTAGCGAAATAGGATTCTTGGGAGTCTGCCAGCCGCGCTCGGTGGATCGCAGAAATAATATCATGGAAGGCCTCATTGACGTTCTGCCCAGTCTTGGCCGACGTCTCAATGTACGCCATGTGGTGTTCAGCTGCAAACTGACGCGCTTCCTCTGCCGTCACAGCCCTTTCGTCTGCAGGCAGATCACACTTGTTCCCGACGAGCGTTGCATGCAGTCCAGGTTCGGCGACATTCAGCAGTTGATCGAGCCATCTCTCGACGTCAAGTAAGCTGGCACGGTTGCCGACATCGAACACTAGCAAAGCCCCAGCAGCTTTGCGATAGTAGGTGGACATCATGGCGTGAAAACGTTCTTGACCAGCAGTATCCCAGATTTGAGCCTTCAGGTCAACATTGTCGACCTTGACAGCGTGGGTGAGAAACTCCACTCCAATTGTGGATGTGAACTCCTCGTTGTACTCGCCCTTGTGCAAACGGCCGATCAAGTTGGTTTTGCCCACACCCGAGTTCCCAAGTAGAACAACTGGCACACCACCAGCACGAGAGTTAGGTTACAAGAGTGGGCTCGTCTTTACGGAGCTTACTTTTGTTAGCAGGGGGTTTGCCGGGACATTTTGGAGTTGTCGGGGTCCTGTACGAATGCATTCCCACGGGTTCGGCTTTGCGAGTTTCACTTGAAACTGGTGGGGGGTTCTTGCAGAACGTCGTACCATACCTGCGCATGACACAAATCATACAACTTAGTGCAAAGTATTTGAGCTCTTTCATTATAATCACAGAGCAAACTTTTTATCGAGTTCTGCATAAAGCAGGTGCATTCGGTGGCCGTAATTCTCCACCAATGCGTCCACGTCTTCCAGCTTATCGTGCAGACCTTGTCGAGTGTAGAAGTCCCGAAGAAATTCACGTGGAGTAAGAGTTTCTACGTCGTCGAAAATTGCCAGCGGGTTGATGCTCGAGAGGAACCCTTTCGAGGGAGGAGTGGCACATGGCACGTAGTCCGCCATTTCTTTGTGGGGGGTTGGCACTTACAACAATGCTCGTCTAATAAAAAAACACCAGAAATATTTGCGTCGAAACGCCAAATCTCTCGGGGAAAAGGCTCCGACAGGGGCAATGCAATCTGGTCATGGGAACGAAGGAGACTTTCCCAGTCGACCAAAAACCAGTGAAAGCAAACAATACCCGTGGAAAGAGGAACCAGCAGAGTCGACGTTCAAGATTGAACACGTTCAGCGTTTGAGAATTACTGAGAAGTGGAACTCCAAATGTGTGAACGAAGCGGAGAATTTTGAACAACAAGGTAAAATCCTAATAGCGCTTTTTGTCCTGGATTGATAATACTGAAGTGACACTTTGTTCTATTCAGCATCTCTCTTTGAGTACGATTTCTCCAAAGCGCTACAATCTACCGACCACCTTGGTGTCCCGAATCCTCTGCGTACCGCCATCTGCTTTGATGTACTGACTAAGATCAGTAACAAGTTCTTAAGATTCCAGAACCTCACTCACGTGATGCGGGCGGAGTTGGAACGATCCACTTATATGAATGAGTCATCAGTGGCGAAAAACGACCTCGTTGTCACTGGAAATGGTGAAGGCTTTTCCTCTGCGTCATTAAAGGAATCGCTTATTCGACGAGCATATTTTACCGAGTTAAAACAAGTGCTCAAAGAGAAGAAATGGCTGGAGATTCGTCTGTGAGTTTACTACTGAAGCCAACCTGTGAAATGTGTTGGACTGAAGCTGCTCCATTGAACTACAGGTCTCGCCTCGACTCCCTCCATAAGTTCATGTTGAAGAGACTGCGCAACAATGAACTAATGGTTGATCGCCTGGCAACTCGATGGGGCCGGCTGGTGCTGCGTCAGACGCTTGGAGACTGGAAGAAGATCATCATCCGCAAGAAGTACACTCGCGTTTTACTCGAAAAGACTCGTTCGCGCTGGACGAAGCAGCATCTTATGAGATTATTCCGCCGATGGAACGACTACGCAGTAGGTGAGATAGTCCGCAAGTCCAACGAGCAGATCCAACTTTACCGCGACAGTAAACATGATTTGCAAGAACTCATCGGACGATTACAAGTCCAGGTTGAAGCTGCCAAGGTGGAAGTGAAAGCCCATCGCGAGCATCTCGACTTGGCGAAACGACACACGCTGTCGTTGGAAGAGCTTCTCGCCCAACTGGAACTACGCGTTCGACAAAGCCAAGAGCGAAAACTGCAGAGCATCTCAAACCAGTGGGGCAAGCTGTGTTTCTCCTTCGTCGACTGCGAGTGCGATTACCTGCAGAATATGCTAGACGCGGTAGCAGCAGATACTTACATCGATGTCAGTGTATTACTGATGAAAGGAGAAGATGAGTCTGATCTCCTAGCTCTTCCCTCTGAACTGCTGGTGCTTCGATGGATCAACTTCCAACTGGAGCAGTGTGGAGGACCATTTCGCCACTTGTGCTCTTCCAATTACGACTTGATCCAGAATTTTTCATCCGACATGCACGGCTTCTACGCACTGCGCCATATCTTACATCGCGTGTTAACGGTGAAGAGGCGACGCCTACCAGCAAAACAAACACAGATGAAGAGCACCTCCCGTCTCTTATCTCGCAGTGTTGTCGACAACGCTGCTGCTTCTAGCGTATTGTCCAAGCAGACACCATTTCCAACCCGGGAGGAGCTCCGAACTGCGTTAGCTGAACAACTGGATCCAGCATGCCCGGAATTTCTGTGTGCCCGCGTGCTCAGCAAGGAGGTGGCAAGTGATTTAGTGTTTTGCTTGTTTGGATTCCTGGTGTGTGAACATCCGAGTCTCATAATTGAGACACCACGGGGACAAGCATCTCACCCAGCCAGTCCTTATCCATGGTACGAAGCTCAAGCTGCGCTGAACGACGCACGCACAACCTGGAATTCTGTTCGCTTGCAATGGCGAGAGCTTCATACTCCGTTTGACGTCCTCGACGTGATCAATGCACCTCCAGAAATGACGACCTCCCCGCAATTACTGACAAAGGCAAATATCGCTCTACAGAATGCTGTTAACACGGTGCAATATGCGTGTTCGAAACGCAGCAGTGCGATGAGAGTATGGGGCTGTTTGCAGCGTCGGATCCGGCAAGATGCTCTTCGACTGCTTGCACGCCGAGGACGAGAGCAGGCCCCTTTCGAATTGGTCGACCGACGTGTTTTGCGCAACAAATGCATGCTAACTACACTGCATACTCATAAGCTCGTGCAAGCGCATTTGGACCAAAGCGAAGGCAAACTGAGTGGCGTAGAGCTCACGGAACAGCTACAGCTCATTGAAGAAGTTCTCGGAGAGCACTACGAACGCCTGCGTCAGATTTACCGCTTCTATGCCAACGTCGACTTTAGCCGTACGTCATGCGGAGGCTCCGGTGAAAATCAACCACGCAGTGGTGGGAGCACAGTCAAAGAAGCACGCTTCTTCCACAAAATTTCTGCCTGCATGTCGCTGGGAGAGTTTTACCTTTTCCTTAAAGAATGCCAAGTTTTTGGCAAGACTCGACCATTCCCTTACGACTTTGTCCAGAGCGTATTCGACAAAGTGAGTCCTGACGTTGCGGTCTCCATGGAAGCAGCCACGTTAACGCTACCACTTACGCACACGCTGTCTGCTCCCGTAAAAGACCCCAGTAATGTGAAAGGGAGGGAGATGACACCCGCAGAGTTCGTCGAAGCGCTGGTTCATATCGTACAGAGCGATCACGTGCTTTGGAGCGGTGGAAATACTGGACCAGCTACAGCTCTAGCTCAACGATTCCGAAGATTTCTCGAAGAGATCGTCTTCCCTAACGCAATGCGCCCGGACGAAGAAAAGGGCAACGTGTTTCGGCCGCAGCTACTCACGTTTGAGTGTCGACAAGTCTTCACAACGCATCACAAGAAGCTACGGTCGATGTACTTACACTTTGTCGCAAGTGAAGTGAAATCTGAGAGGCGCATCGCAACTCAAGACAGCACGGGACTGGGAAAGATGCTCTCTGCCAACGGGTTCGTCAACTGTTGCCAACACTTCGACCTCTTCCGTGACAACCTTCTCCATTTTGACGACCTTCAGCATATCTTAGCAGAAACACTACAGCTTGAGCGAGAAAACGTTCACTTTGACTTGGCTGGCGCGACTACTGAGTCGGAGACAAGCACGCCCGAGTCAGAACTCAAAGCGAGGCTTGAGGATCCTGAAGAAACCATCTTCCTAACGCTGACTGAGTTTGTTGAGGCTCTTGCTGCGGTCGCGTGTTATTTGAACCCCGACGCATTTGTGCCGCTTGCTTCAAAACTTGATACATTTTTCAGCGAACGTCTCGAATCAAGCACTATCACGACAAAATCATGATTTTTTCCGCATAGATGTCAAGTTCGCATATGTATCGTTTGCTAGAGTTGCAATAGCCCCGCTTAAAACAATGGTGCTAAGATACATGAGCTGTACCCGCATAAAAAGTCGTACTGGGGTTTGTATTCTATCTAGAATAAGGTGTATGTGATGCAGATAAAAACATTGCACCTTAACAGCAGTACTATGCATTTAAGAATGAGAGTGAGTATTTTGCCAGACTGGGAGCATCCCACTCGTAGCAAATCTTGTGTTATCTTCGGATTTGCTAGGATTTGCTAATATCTTCCATATCCGAACTCGGTACAGCGTATACTCTGCGTATACCCCTCCCACACAAAAAATCCTCCCCCTCCAGCAAATTCGTGGCGCCAACGGACCCAAATGCCGCCGCGCCCACGCAGCGCTCCAAAGCGCCCCCTGCTGGCAGACGCCAGCGACGATACCAGTGACGGCGCCGCATCCGGCGGCTCTTTGAGTGAGTGGGAGCCGTCACTAAGCCCACCTCGTGTGGAAACGACAGGGACGAGCATCGCTAGCGAGGAAGCCGGACCAGTCTGTGTCATCGCTCCGCCTCCGGGGGAGACGCAGTTCAGGTCGTGGGAAGAATTCAAAGCATACTTCGCGCAGTACCAAGCTCGGTCGTTCCAGGTACAGTTGAGAAGTTTTTTTTTTAATTATATTCAGTGTTATCTAAGCTAATTGGTTGGCATGTTATCGATACAATATTAGATCTACCGTACCAGAACGAACACCTCAGTTCCAGTACGGAATGCTCGGATATATGCCCAGGGATCCAAGGCGTGTAAGAATCCCGACGAGTGGGACCAGTACGCAAAAACATACGTGTGTACGCATTACGGCAAATTCCGATCGCAAGCCACAAGTAAGAGGCCTCGTCAGGAGAGTCGAGCTTCTGGATGCTCTGCCCAGGTATGTTGCTGCTGCAAATTAGAATGTCGGGTGTGCTGTGCAAGATACATGATCAATTAGGCGAAGCCAGATTCAATCTGGCATGGTCTGGTATGATTGGGTATTGACTGGTTTGATCGGACAAATTTGCTAATATCTGCTGGCAATATTTCGTTGTTTTCAGATCAATGTGTGCGTTTAAGAGATCAACAAAGCTACCCATACATTTGCTCTAATGATTACGAAGTGCCACCTTGAGCACAACCACACATTGAGCGAGTACGCTTTCAAAAGCCACTCGTCCAACCGTGTGTCCCTCGATGAGAGTGCTTTAGAGACAGTGGACGAGCTCTGCAAGGCTGGCGCGAAAAATACAAGCATTCTCAAGTTTATCAAGGACAATTCCGATAGCAATCCGAAGCCGCAGGATGTTCATAATTTGGTTCGTAAATTGAAGGCTCGCGAGCAAGGATTGACCCCAACCTCTAGTTCAAAGCGGTTAAAGAAGTGGATGTCCGAATTTGGTGATGTTTCTGGCAACGTGGGGCGCATCTTCGTGGACGATGTGGGAGAAAAGGTATGATATACGACGTTTATGTTTCAAATTTAATTTCGTTATTGCCTATTTAACCGTTTCATTATGTTAAAAATTGGCAACTTGTATTACGCTTCAAACCAAACACATGCGATCGATCTTCACTCAATTTCCGGAGGTACTTCTAATTGACGCAACGCATGGAACCAATCGATCCAAGTACAAGGTCTTCTCTTTCATGGCACACGACACTTTTGGAAAAGGCCAGTTTGTGCAGCATGCCCTACTCCACAACGAGCAGTGGAGAACATTGTTGACTGCACTGAAAGAATTTAAGACGAAAAACCCGGCTTAAACGCGTCTACAGTGCGTGCTCATCGACAAGGACTTCACGGAGCTTTATGTTTTGAAGACAGCATTCCCCGGCGTGACTATTATACTCTGCCAGTTTCACGTATTAAAGTACTTGAGGAAGGAAATTTCATCATCGGATTACGGCTGCAACACGTGGGAGAGGGATCAGCTGCGAGGACCCATGGACCTCCTGGTATACGCGAAGACGGAGAAGGAATACATGGGGCATTTCCGGTACATGCTGCATGTGTGCGAGGTTGGTCATTCAAGGTCGGAGTCTTCAGATTCAATCGGGCAGGACAGATCGACCCCCTCTTCGGTCGGGGTGAATCTGGCTCCAGTCGGGCAGAATCTGGCTCCAAACTCCGTTGAACCCGCGGATGTGGCTGCTGCGACAAATGAACCCACGACCCACCCGTTTGCTGCCTATTTCATCAGAAACTGGGATAATTGTCGTAAGTTATGGTGTGCACACAAGCGGCAAAACACCGTCACTCTCGGCAATAACACCAATAATAGATTGGAGGCATCCTGGAAGCAGTTGAAAGAGTGGGTAAATTCGTTCATGGCTGTGGACGAATGCATTGCGTCTATCATGTACTATCAAACGCTTCAAGAACGACGTTTCATGGATGAAGTCTACAAGAAGGTTAACATTCAGCATGTTGGATACGACCAAGAAATGACTCTCGTGGCTAACCTTGTCAGCGAACACGCGTGCGAGCTGATACAAGACCAATACGTATACGCACTTGCCCGTGCATCATACAATTTTTCGGAGCTGGACTTGTTCGTGCCTCTTTATGAGCACGCGTTTGCTGCCGTGTCGTCATGTTTTCTTTCTGAGAAGAGCACTCGGCAAAGAAACTGTTATCCCGACACAACTTCTCAATCGTCGGTGGATATTGTCTTCTGTTAGGTCCTCGATAGAGTTCGAGAGCTCAAGTGACAACTGTACGTCTATGGAATCTTTCGCTATTCGTGGGGTTGTGGCGAAGGATGATCGACCTTGGGACTCAAACCGCAAGTATCGTGAGGCGCTGCCTATCGCTAGTGAAATTTGTGGTTCGATGTCTGGATTGGGAATGGCACAATACCGAGAAGCGATGGAGTATCTGAAGGATGTTGCTCGTCGGCTCAAGCATTGTGACTTCGGCACCTTATCCAGTCAAAACTAAAACGTTCAGCTATCAGACTCTTCTCCTTCTACCCAGCCAGCTGAAGCGAGTTCAGCCATTGAGAACAGTCAAGTCGAGGAGTCTGACATCCAGTCTGGCGAGTCTGGCACTCAGTCTGGCGAGTCTGGCACTCAGTTTGGCAAACCTTTTGAATCGAAAACCCGAGAGTTGATATCAACTCTCCAAGAAGTAGGGAATGAAGAATTTCACGTAGCGAGCCCTCCTAGATCCCGCGGGCGCCCAAAGCAAACAGCAAAGTCGAAGAAAGCTGCTCGTAGAAAGAATGCCACGATCGTCCAGGAGGACTCAGACTTGTACGCGGCGAATTTGAGCCTGGCTACAGTGCGAGATGCTGTTGAAGGCGTGCCTACATACGATACATCTGCCGCTACCCTATCGCGATTCAAGCTGTATGAGTTCAGTAAAACTCCCAGGGCTCCTGTAGCCCACGAGAGAGCGAGCTTACCACCGGCGAAGAAAATTTATCCTGTGGAATCCATAACCCGTGTATTTCGCAAAGACTTCATTGAGAAGTGCAGCGCCAAAGTCTCAGCCCTGCAGAAGAAACATAAAGATTCATAGGGTGTAAATCTAGGCGAACAAGAAATTGCGGTGGAAGTAATCGGTGTTGGAACATACACTACCGAGACGTTGGGTGTAATGAAAAAGTGGCACAGGGCGATGAAAAGCATACAACACGTAGACAAAGCTATAAACTGGATCGAGACCATTGATTTCACTCTACAGATGCCCGAGCATTTCCAAGTTGATCCAGACCCAGATATACTTGCTAAGCTGAAGGCCATCCCACTTCTGTCCGTGCAGGTACAGTTGACGTACATTTATTGATACAATGGGTTTTTACTAGCGTTGATAACATCTTCTTGAATATAGGCGGAAGCGCTGGAGCTCGTTGGCAAGTCGCCCTTGGGTGATTGCACCGTTAACACTTTAGTGCTGAAGCTGTTTGCAGAAAGAGTAGACACGATTGGAGTCGACACGTCCATCGCGGGGAACGTTATGAATGGCTATTTATCGATCTATACGATGAAGGGCGTGTTTGTAGGTGTTACGGGTGAGAAGATTTTGATTCCGATCATCTGTGGCAAGAATCACTGGTGCTCTGTCATGATTGACCTGACATGTAAAGACGTATTAGTCTACGACCCGATGAATTCCAGCTACGGAGTGAAGATTCGCCCCCTTGCTGACAAATTGGTGACGATGCTACCAGACTTCGCCCAAGAAAGTACCGAGTCCGAATGTATGAAAGTGATCTTGGAGTGCAGGTCGATAGCTACAATTGTGGCATGTACATGCTGTTGGCATTCGAGATATTTGCCGGTGCTACTACTATGCGTGCGCTAAGTAGGAAGGAGTTACAGTATCTACGCTATCGGTATCTCTGCATGTGCGTTTAGCTGAACAAGTTTTCAGTGATTTGGTCTTTTGTTTGTGTGTGTCGATGGCATGACTACCTCCGGGTTATTCACCCTGCACTTTGTCTTGAGAGTTAGATATCCCCAGCGCAGTGAATGTCTTGCAGATATAAGTTTCGAAACCGACAGACATCGAGCTTCCGGTTATACGTATACTCCCGAAGACACATCAGCTGATGCCGTGTCCGGCTCTTCCTGAGTCTCGCATATTCGGGCATGCTAATCGGGTGTATTCTGGTGTAATTGTACTGTCTCTTGTTACCCAGTCTGGCTGAATAACGAGTGCCTTTAAGAATATGCTATTTAAGGAAAGCGCCTCACGAAGTACGTTATTGTCGTATTGGCAGTGATCAACCCTGGTACACGTTTTTGAAAATTGTTTGCTTAAAAACGACTGGTATGATTTGGAGGTTTGCCGTTGGGTGAACATTTTTCCGATAGGTGGTAAAATCACGAGGTAGTTCAGGCTATCGTTAGTTAGAAGCGAGTGCAGCGAACTCTTGTCCTCATTTTTATTTCTGCATTGAGGTGCAATTCCTGATGATGATGGAGCAAATTTACTTTCATTCGAGTTCTTGTCGC